GAAACGGGATGGGTAAGAACAGAACACCAGAATGCCAGGAGTTATCCTTGGAACTTTTTGAACCTGGATTATTCAGTTCCTGCCGAGTTCCACTCCCAGTTTACAACAAAACGTGACATGCGGCACAACATAGAAATACGGGGAAAATATGGGCAAGAAGCCCCACAAATCTCTGCTGCAAAGGAGTGTTTTGCCATTCTTTGCTTCTTTATGTCCCTCACTGCCCCCGAGTACTACCATGCCTTCTGCCTACCCTTTCTTCGTGCCTCCTCTCTAGTCTGTCTCTGTCCAGCCTCTGCCCTCCCCACTGCCCTTGCCTGCAGCCAGATGGAGCCACGTGTCTGATGTTTTGAAAAGTTGCGGTAAAGAGCAGCTTTTTCGTGGGAAGGACACTCCTTGTGTTCTAGCTTGGCACGCTGGTAGGCAGCTACTCATCTATGAGAAGTCTCCTTCCCACAAGCCTCTCCCAACGGAGGTTACGAAAGGAGCCCACTGCTGCAGCGGTGCCGAGAGCCCGGCAGCGAGGCAGGCACCTTCACTGCCCCCAGCCAGGCTGTTAGTCCTTCCCATCCATGACCTCCGCTGCCCAAGATAACCACCTTAGGTCTTTGACTACTTGGAAGGAGTCCAAAGAGGTTCTCTGAGACTACTCAGAAGGCAGTTCAAAAGCAATTTCAAGTTTCTACAGGCAGAATCCCCATCAGTTAGATACCTAGGCAGCACACCTTCTTATATACCCTTTTTTCTACCTTTTCCAGAGTCTCTCAGGTTCCTCTGTTCTCCAGGACGGGAAACGACAGCAAAAGGTTAGAAGACATGAGTGAAAAATACACAAGCCAGCAAAAGATCCTAAGATATTAAGCATTTTTCATGATAATGCAGCCAAAAAAAAAAAAAAAAAATCACACCACAAAGAAATGGCTATTACTTTCCTTATTTTGAAGCTGCTTCTCTGGGGATGCTGGACACACAAAATTCTGGTGGTAGCAACAAACAAAACTTTCCTTGCACAAATCCAATTAATTCCATCCAAACTGCAACTCATGAGTGAGGAAGGAAAAAAGCCAGAAAACAGGTACCAGATACTATAAATTCCAGGTAAATAGAACAGATGCTAAAACATACATTAAGAAGCCTGTGATAAACATTTATATTTTCTGTTCCCCTGAAGGGTACTTTCTATTATCTTTAAGCTTCTAGTTCCCCACAATCAGAAACGGGATGCAACAAAAACGTAGGGACCACAAAATAAAATGTTTCATGGGGTTGTCATATAGGTATCATCATACCACATTTATTTCCTAAGTACCTTTCAGTTCAGTTAAAATTTTGAAATGTTCTCTGTGGAAAAAATAGTCTAAATAGTTTCAGAAGGAAATACTACTTACCTCTTTCATCACTTTTATCACTCATGATTACAACAGAGTCCTCCTGCCTCAGCTTCCCAAGGATGGTTAACAACATGAGAAGCAAGTACAGAATTATCTCAGTCTCCAAATCGCAGGGTATGAAGGAGGAGAAGGATAAATTATTAGAGTAATATCTGGGGAAAAGCATGTGATTTTCTACCTTCCCTTTTTCTGCCACAGAAACTTACCTGCTTTGTTCTTCTATGGACTTAACAGACCCACACACAAGAAATCTGTTCTAGGCTTTCTCTTTTACTATCTAGAGATAGCATGCTCAAAAAAAACCCAAAATGCCCCAAACCATAAAAACCCTCAACACACAAAAAACCCAAAATGAAATAACCAAGCCCCAAAAAACCCACAAGTCCAAATAACCCCAAATGAACCCCTCAAACCCCAAAACTAAACAGCATCTCCATAAAAAAAACACACATCAGTAAACACATTCTTTTTTGGTTTTCTGGCCTCAAAAGACCCAAAAAACATGATCAGCTGGCAGTGACTCGGTATGGAAGAGAAAGGAATTTGTGGGTGTGGATCAGTGAGAATATCTCCTCTCAGCAACAAAGCCATCCCAGGTGAGGATGCCATATTTCCAACAGCTGGCAAAGCGAAGCTACCCAAGAGTTGCACATGTGCCTGTGTTCTGCTTTTTAAAATGCTCCAGCTAACATTCCAGTGTATATTCCTTTGATGAAGTGGTCACAGACCTCAAGAATGAGGAGTTTCATCAATTCATTAATTTCCCCTTGTCTTCTGGGAGCATGCGCATCAAATAGGACGAAACACGTTCGTAACATAGTGCACTTCTGATACTCTCAATTACAGCAGGTTGCAAAGACTTTTTGGGAGAAGTGTAAATCAGGGTGGCATGAAGACAACCGGTTTTATTAAGCAGGGAGTTTTGGGAAAGAAACCAGCCAGCTTCTCCGAGAACAGCACTGCCAGCTAAGAACACAGCCTCCTTCAGAACACATGGGCAATTCTGAGCAAGGCAGCAAATGCAGCATTTTGTTTGAAACACATTTAAAGGCAGTAAAACCCCGTAGGCACCTCCAGAAAGTTTTGGAGCAAATCAGAACGCAATTAATCAGGGCTGTGAGACTGCTGTTAATGAAGTCAGACACGGCAGACCCCGGTTTGAATAGTTTCTGTGGTTTTCTACTAACTGTAAGCACGGTGGGCCAGCCTTGGGTAGAACCTGCTTTGAATTCTTTGTTACCATCTGAAGTTCAGATAATGAAAAACAGCAGGCAGACGGAAAACTACTTTTGTGAACTCCATTAAAATGCACCACAGATATCACGCCTGATGTTTCAAGGCAGCCACTGATGGATAATGGACCTCACAGTTAACAAAAGTTATACACCTAGCAGGCTTTACATAATTACCAGAGTACCTACTTGTTTTTCAGGAAATTTCTGATCCTTAGAATTTACTGCAGATTACCCTAAGGATCTGTCTTCACATTAAGAAAATAAAAAAGCATGACCACCAAAAGCTATGGAAATAACGTTCTTACAACAGCACCTCATTTTAGTGATAAGAGCAAAATAAAGAATGCTTAATTTGCAGCAGATGTGACCTACAAAGCCCCTCCGCTGATAAGCAGAGGCCTACTAAGGATACATCCACTTGCCATCAACTTATCCATTCTGTAGGATAACGTGGAATAATCTTCCTAAAAGCATCACAAAAATAAAAAAAGCATTGCAAAAAGAAGTATGTCAATACCTCATTTCACAATCACTTTCACCTTTGTTAAACTGAGCTACAACGTTACACATTGTTACAACTCTACGTGAACAAGTAAACAGAGCAGGTCATTCTTTGAACAACTAATAAAAACACCACTTGGTATTTTTCTGTTATTGGAACAGACACATTAACAAGCAGATCCCTGCAAAACCAGATGAAGTCACCCTTCTCAGAATCACCAATTCCAAGAACACTGATTATCAAAATCGTTCC